TTTAGTGTGTGAAACAGATTATAATGTCGTAACCCTATGACATAAAAAATAACATTTGTATGTGATCGATACTTGCAGGAAATATCGGCTCACGTATAACTTGTTGCTGCGAATAGATGGAAGAGCGACTTCTTCAATGTTGCATGAAAATGTAGAAGTGCACAACTTGGAAAAATGCATAAGCATAAAGGAATAAAAAAAACTTTCAAGGAACTCCTTTAAACTGTATGAGTATCAAAATAAACAATTTCTCATAGGCTCTAATCTAAAAACTTCAGACTTGCAAGGTTGAATTTTCACAAAAAGAATCCTTCATAGATGAACTGATCTATTTGTTTTACCTTTCTCTTTATATTTTCAAAATTATCATACAAAAATCAGTATATGCAATCCTATTTATTTTTATCTATTATATATACAATTTCTTATATGTATATAATTTCTTACGTGTATTATGTATATATATTTTGTATATATTTATTATGTATGTATTCATATTCTCTTTATACCAATATATTACATGTATAATATATTTCATATATTATATAGATATATATATATTTTACATTACATATCATATATGTACAAATGGACATAAAATATAAAATTTTGACTTTCAATAAATATATTAATATGTGTATAAATATGTTATCAAACGAGAGAAAAAAAATCAAAATAATAAAATTAGTGTCCTATATTTTATTAAAAAATTTGAACGTATCCCTCGCCCTTTCAAATAACAAAAGGCGAAACTACCATATTGGACCCATAAAATCGTACTCGAGAATTTTATAGGGGCTTGACGCACCGACGAACTATTGTACATCCAAGATAGATGAACCTCTGACAACACCCAATTTGCAAAGGTTATCAAATTCTTTATTAACTGATTTGTACAAAATAAGATACAACTCAATGTTTGTCATTGATTGACTTACTCCCCAAATACTCTAGTAGCGCACCACAGTCACTATAATAATAGAATTTAATATATACTAAGCAGAATGGTGCTTCAAGTTGTGAATACTATAAGACATGAAACATGTGATGTAAAAGAAACGAAGTTGTTTGAGGAATGAATACAAATTGACATATGACGAAAGTAATTAGAAAAAAAACAATTTCTGAATTAAGATTGTTAAAACTTGTGCGTGATAGATGAAATACAAAATCGACGGCAATGATTAGGAGAAGGAATTAAAAAATTAAGCAAAATTAAAAAAAATTAAAAAAAAAAACAAAGATTTTAATGGATAAAACTTCATAAAAAAAAAAGGAAAAAAAATTGATAAAAAATAATACCTTTTAGAAAAACGCATATTTAGAAATATTATAAAAAATGGTAAACGTATAAAGATAAAGAAAATACATTATCCAACAGAGAGCCTAACTGGATTGAATTCAAACAATATCACATAAAGAGACGATATAATTGATAAAGGTTATTATAGTTAAAAAGATTGAGTGTTATAGTGCCCGCGAGTTAAAGGGAAAAAAAAAAAAAAAAAAGCTTTCTCCACTGCAATGATGTTGGGCAGGGTAGCCTACGAGGCTGTGCCCACAGACTTCCTCCACAAAATGCACCTTACAGGTAAGGCGGTCACATTTTGAATGTTACTCTTTTTCTTTTTCTTGATCGTGTGTTTCTTACGAGTCCCCTGCCAACGAGGCAAAAGGAAATGTGAGATCTTCTCAAGCCGTGTTTCGTCATAGAATTATAACGCTCGTCACACTGACACTTAGGGGAATGTATCCACCCATTTTCACGGTCGGATCCGTGTGCCCATTTTCTTCCCTTCTTCTTTTATTTTTGGAATCTCACAACCTCGGCGCGGGGCTGAGATGCCCTTACTGAGGGCACCCTCACACTACCACTTCCAAGAATGTATATAACTTCAATCACGGCTAAAACTCAATTTTTTTTTTTAGTTTCACGACCACAACTTTTTTTTTTTTTCCATGAAAATACCAAAAAGAAAATGGAGTGGTACTCAGGCTCGACAAACTAAGAGCGCAGTGAAATTCAGGGTCGGCAAAAATAGGCTCGGAGGTATTAGTGGTTTAAGGCGTTTGTATGCGAACGGAATGGCAGACTGGGAAAAAGGTTAAGAAATAAAGAGAACCTGACACTCTATATCTCACGCAAGAAACCAGAATGGTTGAGGTTTCCGAGAGGCTCTGAAGGTTTCTTCTTGTTGGAGGGTGTCCGACATGATGAACATTCTCAACAGCATTGGTGAGTGCCACGTGGGCCGAGAGACCAAGGCGTTCTGCAAAACTGGGAAGATTGCAAGTCGCACCGACCCAACTCCAAACGACGTGGATCCAAGGCGCGTGCGCACACACACATACACATACATATAAACATATACATATAAACATATACAAAGAGAGAGAGAGAGAGAGAGAGAGAGAGAGAGAGAGAGAGAGAGAGACCCACTACCACTTCACTTCATCTCCTCCTTTCCAACCTCTACCCCAGCCCAATTTAGGCCCGTCTTGTTCAAAGGGTGGATCCCATCATGGCCCTGAGCCTGATTCCAACCTCCATCCCAACCTTGAAAAAGCAACCTTGCCCTTCACCCTGATCCTGATCTTGATACAGTTGATGGGGACAGGCATCGCGGGGGAGGAGAAGTGAAAGCGGTTGTCTTCAAACAGGCACGAGGCGAAAAAACAAGCAGCCACAAGCATGAAGAAACATTCGAAAGAGAGACACCACAAGAAAATGATATAAAAAGAGAGAGAGAGAGAGAGAGAGAGAGAGAGAGAGAGAGAGAGAGAGAGAAATGCACCACTTAAAAGAGAGAGAGAGCGTGCATGAGAGTTTTGTGTGAGAGAGAAGTGTAGATACCACTGGGAGAGGGAAAAAATAAAACATTCTTTGTACTGCTCCTTTTGGATAACCCGAAATTGTTGTTTTTTGCTGAACTGCATGATCTGCTTCTGTGATTTTATCCTTTAGCCCTATCCTGCCACCTTCACAACATTAGGGTGGAGCCGCTGTGGGTCCACTTGTTTTCTATAAAAGAAATTGATCTTCACAACAACTATAAAAATAAGTCGCTAGTTAGAGAGCACGTATCGACAAAACCAATTCTCAATTATCTAATCAATTGGGCACCAGAAATCTACAAGGACAATTATCATGCAACAAGTTTTGAGATTGTTTATGCCATCCGCTCAATCTATAGTAGAAGGAAAACAAGAAAAAACAAGGATGAAAAAAACTACATGTGAAAAAAAAAAGTACAAAGAAAAACTAAATGTGAAGGTAGCCAATGTCAAAACCAAAGAGGAAGCAAAACATTTGTATAATATTCTTGTGACAAAAAGGGTGAAATTAATACTACTTATAATACATTATATAAAGATGGAAAGAAACAGTCAAAGAAGCTAACAAATGTTATGTGTAATCAATCATATATTTAAATACTTTTAAGATTTCTCAATTTAAAATTTCCCATTTTGACAAGAATTCCTGCTAAGATAACATATCCAGCGGTAGGTGCTTCTACATGGGCTTCATGTAACCAAACATGAGTTGGTACCATAGGTACTTTCACTACAAAAGATAGGGAAAAAACAATCCATAACAATATTTGACATCGTTCACTAAATTATGGCTAATAAGGATGAATTTGATGAGCTCCATTATTGTAAAAGGGGTGGAGTGTTGGTCTGTCACGCCCGGTCGCTAAATTATGTTTGTTAACAAGTACGAATTTGATGAGCTCCATTATTGTAAATGGTGATTTGAATGGGCAACTTCTGGCGTGACAGACCAACACTCGTCTTCGACTTTCAAGGCAGAGGACCTCAATTGTAAAACCTCCTTCCCTGGAGTTGCTACCTTCTGCTTTTACCGTCTTCCCCCGAATAGAATGCCCGGTCATTATCACCGCATCTGGACTGAAAGTTGCCCCAAATACTGCTATAATGACGGCATTCTATTTAGGTGAAGACCGTAGGCCGGGAAGATCCACGTCAACCTGAAGGGCAATTGCAAGAAAGTCTGACGCTGTGCGAAAAGCGCAACTGAACAAGGACAAAAAAGCCTTAGGAGCAGCCAGACCACAGAGATTGGCAGGGATCTGAATAATCTGAAGACAATTAAAGAACGTGATGACGGAGATGTTCCTAATTGCCATGACCACCTGAGGTTGCATCATAATGCTTCAAAACGAGCAAGAAAAAAAGCTTGGATTGCAACAAACTGGCCAACGAATTGCATATTAGCTGGGCTACGACGAATCGGGCCACCTGGGTCACCTTCGTTGCCGGGTTAGCCCGGCTGAGCAAGGGCCAAGGAAAATCCCGGCACAAAACAAAAAAAAAGATCCAAAAATTGATAAAAATTCTACGCTACCAGTTGTCCGATGGCCGGTTGTCATGGCCAGACATCCTGTGGAGTTGTCCGGGACCCCAGACAATTCATTTTTTCCAAATCTAGCAAAAAAAAAAAAACAAGTGGGGGCCTGCGCACCACCAGGGGACCCCCGCAAAAAGAAACAAAAAAAAGGGAAAACAACCTTGCCCAGACGCTGCATGTGTCTACACACACGCACACACACACACACTATCTACACACACACCACACACACTATCTACACACACACACATGCCCCCCCTCCCCCCCCCCCCCCCCCCCCCCCCCCCCACACACACACCCCCCCCCCCCCCCCCCCCCCCCACACACACACACAAGAAGAAGAGAGTCAGACTTCATCGCGTCCACCCGCCCTTTTTTTTTTTCTTTCAATCAACCAATCAATCACAGCCCCTTTTTTTTTCAATCAATCAATCAATCAATCACAATCCGATCCAATCAATAGATTGGATTGGATCTTGAGATCAATTGGATTTGGATTTTCAAGATCCAATCCAATCTATTGATTGGATCGGATTTTGATTGATTGATTGATTGAAAAACAAAAAAAAAATTGGGAGGGGAGTAGAGACGACGACCTAGAGGACGATGGCGAGAAGGGGATGTGGGAAGTTGGGCAGGTAGGGATGGCGACATGGCCGCAGACGACGACGATACGGATGAGGAGGATGAGAAGGACAGGTAGGAGGAGGAGGAGGACAAGGAGGATGAAGAAGAAGAACACGAGGAGGATGACAAAGAAGAGAAGGATGAAGAGGAGGAGGAGGAGGAGGAGGAGGAGGACNGAGGAGGAGGAGGACAACGAGGATGAAGAAGAAGAACACGAGGAGGATGACAAAGAAGAGAAGGATGAAGAGGAGGAGGAGGAGGAGGAGGAGGAAGAAGAAGAATACACGGAGGAGGAGGAGGATGGCGACGGACGCGGCGGCGAAGGGGGAAAGGGAGCAGGAGCGGGCCGCGGCGATGGACACAAATTGGGACACCGTGACGATGGAGGAGGAGGAGGCGAAGGGGGAGGCGGAGGGGGGGGAGGAGGAGGAGGAGAAAGAGCAGGAGGAGGAGGAGGTGGAGGAGGAGGATGACAACGAAGAAGAAGAGGAGGAGGAGGAGGAGGAGGTTGAAGAAGAAGAGAAGGACGGAGAGGAGGAGGATGACAAAGAAGAAGAGAAGGATGAAGAGGAGGACAAGGAGGATGAGGAAGAAGAAGATGAGGAGGAGGAGGAGGAGGAGGAAAGGGAGCAGATACAGGGGGGGTCGATGGAGGAGGACATGGACGAGGACGAGGAGGAAGAAGAGGAGGAGGAGGAGGAGGGGGAGCTGGAGGACGAGGAGTAATGAGAGGAGGAGGAGGAGGAAGAGGAGGACGGCGACGAAGAAGAAGACGAGGAGGAGGAAGAGGAGGAGGACGGTGGCGATGGACAACGATGGGGAGGAGGTGGAGGACGAAGAGGAGGAAGAGGAGGAGGGGGAGGAGAAGGAAGTGGACGGAAAGGAGGAGAGAGATGAGAGAGACATGGAGGAGGAAGGACGGTACGCACCTGCACGGGGGTTGGAACATGTGTTGGGTCGTGGCTGTTGGCCCGTGATTTCGGCAACGTCCAACTCCCACGACGTGCCCAAGTCGCGCGCGGGCAGACGGTGGTCGGGGGCGCAATTCAAATTCGAATTTAGCCCAATCTGGTCCGTAGATCTCTTCGATCTGACAGCCCAGACCGGGCAATTTTCATTTTCGTTTTTGAAGGCCCTACCGGCCTCAAGAAAATCGCCCAACCTAAGCAGGGGTACTACATACCCCAAACCGCACCCCACAGAACCAAAAACCTGATCGGCCCCCAAAGCTGATTTTTTAACCAGCCTGGACACTGGGCCCCGCTTGGACGACCGGGGGAGTTGTCCGATCGGACAACCCAGAACCAAAAAGGGTCCCGGACATTTGGGCTGGTAACCTAGAAAAAATCTGAGAAAGAGTTAAAAAAAACTATATTATGCAGAAAAATAAACTGAACAACTTTCTTCTTGTTTTAAATAACTAGTAATTTAGTAACTACCCTATATTCTTGTCTCAAAATCTTTCATCTTTCACGACCTACCTACCACTTCGAAGGTCATACAGGGGACCCCTGCAAGCATTGCGATCTACCTCTCTTGGTGAAGGGAGGTTTACCTCTCTCGGTGGAGGGAGGTAATTGCTTGTTTGCCCCTTGCCATAGTGGTTTAGGGTGCAGGGTTGGGGCCTTTGGGTCAAGTCAAAATTCCTTACCATATCAAAAATAAATATCAACAAGATTCAATTAAAATTTTCACTTTTCTTTTTGGCCCTACCAGGCAAGTGGGCCCAGGCCACTCTGGTAGCCTGGCAAATTAGTAACTTGCCCACGTTGTAACAGGGTGAAAATTATGTCAAATGAACTGACATTTCTGACAAGTTTGAAATGACAAAGTGCTGCAGGATGAATTACTGTTCCGGGGTAAGGTAAATTGAATGATCCTGGCCAAGATTGATCGTAGTATCCGTTCTGATCAGTTAAAAAAAAAGAGAATGTTCCTGTATTTTGGCATTGGGGGAAAAAAAGAACAGTCCATGAACATTCACTTGGTGAGAGGAAAGGTCAGTGACCATCTGTCCAAGTTCTTTAAGCATGATTTATTTTCAACAAGGTACCTTTTTCCGTTACGAAAAGAAGAAACAACATGTTACAAATTCGGCTGTGTGACTCGTTGTGATATACATAAACAAAAAGCAATCATGAAGACCTCAACCGGAAAGAAACAGTTCAAAGTCTTCAGACCCTCTGTTCCAAAATGATTTTACTTTTTCAATCATCCCATGCTGCATCAAATTCTCCACGTTTCATACCACCCCAACTTCTTCCAGTGCTTTGTTTTGTCAAACAAAAAATCCACGTGCAAAGGGTGTACCCATAACAACAAACTCGATGACTTTTGATCAGAAAGCCTCAGGTAAGCAAAAGCTTCAAAAGAACGAAAAATGGAATATGTTCTGCAAAGAATTGCGTGCACACACACACACACACACACACACACACACACAGAGAGAGAGAGAGAGAGAGAGAGAGAGAGAGAGAGAGAGAGAGAGAGAGAGAGAG